AGAAAGGTCAGTTTTTTGTAGAAGCACTGGTCTCGCTCTGTGTTGGCATACTGAAGATCTGGACACTTCACACACTGGTCCATATCTGGTGAGAAATGTAATTAACATCATCTCAAGTTCAGTTATTCCTGATTCACAAGTATCCTTCTAGAATACCCAATGTGGCTAGTTTAGGCAAATGGTCCTTATTTGATGTGAAAGACAGCATATAAAATGACATATAAAATTATTGGTGATTATTTATGTCCATCTTCCTCATGTTAGCCAGTTAATACTTCATCTTCCTAAGTACCTTACATAATGATGCGTACATGCTCTTTTTCTCCTAACAAAGCCCTAAGGGCTACTCTCTGAACCTATTCATGGTGCTTTAAAAGCATACCTTAGCCTGTGTTATTTTAACACCACAAATTCCTTCTTCATTGTTTCTTTGGATTGGGAACTGATGATCAAGATGCCAGAGGGTTCCATGTGTGGTGAGGGCTACTCTGCCCTTATACAGGGCATATTCTGCTGCATGCTGACTTTGAACAAGAGCAAACAGCAGCCTTTGATTTTTAAGTTTTTATTTAATGATTGCATTTTTCATACATTCACCTTTAGGAATATAGGGGTTCTTTTCCCTATACCCAGCCTCCCACTCCCACTCCCATCACATTTCCTTCTCCCTCTTCCTATACCATCTCCTTCTTCATTATGGTTCATTTATAGTTTGATTTTAAATACAGAGGACCAACTCCATGTTAAGCATAGATTTCAACAGTTGGTATCCACACACACAGAGACCACATATACAGCGCTGTTTAGGGACAAATTTTGCAGTTGATTCTCATAGTACAACTCATTAGGGACAGAGGTCCTACATGGGACTAAGTACACACTGACCTCTGTTGTTACTTTAACAATTAACATGTTTATGCATGTATGATGTCAGTGATCACCTGAGGCTCTTGCCATGGTCTGCCAAGCCTATGGAAGCCTTTTGTGACCAGAGACTCCATCGGTATTTGGACAGGGTCATACACAAAGTGGTTGCTCTCTCCTCTCTTCAGACAAGAGTACATCCCTTTTTGATGACCCTTTCTTTCAACAGAGGTTTCATAGAGATCCTCCATGTAGTCTATTTTTTGCTGCAGAGTTGTGGCTTTCCATGCCTGAAATGAGCCCTTTTTTAATAGTGCTATTCCCTCTGTACTCTCATGGCCTATTCAACCACCCAATGGTTGCAGTCTTTGATTTAATGTGTGTTCATTCATTTATAACTTACATGAAAGTCAGAGTTTCAGAAGGAAGAGGAGAAGCAGAATGGAGAGAGAGAGAGAAAGAAGGAGAGGAGGACAGGGAGAAAAGGAAAGAGGGAAAAAAGAGGAGGGGAGAGATCTTCCCCCGGTGATTCACACCCCAAAAGTCATTAATAGCTGGAACTGGGCTGTTTTGAAGCCAGTAACTGGGAGCTTCTTCTGGGCTTCCTGTATTGGTGTGAGCTCTGAAACTTGGGCCGTCTTCTGCTGCTTTCACAAGCATCAGGAGAGAGCTGTATTGGAAGTGAAGCAGCTGGGACTGAAACTGCTGACCAACTGGGATGCTAGAATCCCAGCCAGAGGCTTACCCTACTATACCACAGCACCGGCCCCAGGTTCCCACTCTTAAAATCATGGACTGGGAGATATACTTTGTGAATTTTGGTTGCACAGAAATCACCTAGCAATCTCACTAAAACATATCTCTTTAAGGTAGAATCTGGATTATGTCATGATAGGGGAAAGCACTGATTGACAAACCACCATTAGAAGGCAAATGGTCAGGTTCTAGAGAAACAGAAGAGTTGTACACTTGATACCAGCTGGATTAGTTTCCACCCTTGAAAGTTTTCATCAAGGAACACGCTAGGATGCTGCCTGTAATCAAAGTCAGTCTGTAGATCAGCTTGAAACTTGACTGGCATATTTCCACTTTCCTGTCTTTTTGTCCTTGAACATGAATTTTCTCTCCAACCTCTGTCTGTATCCTCTTATGTTCAATATATTGTTCCATTGAAGACTGATGTACTCAACTTGCAGATTTCTTCCAAAATTTAGTTAGTCTTTCCTTTGGATATTTCATACTTTTGAGACATTACAAGTGCCATCTTTCATAGGTTTGTTTTCCAGAATTGGTAAGGAAAAGTAACTGCTTTGTACAATTTTGTATACCAGCACTACTTAATTCAATTACCAATTCACTGATTTCATTACACCATCCCAATATCACTTTAAATGATGCCACTTTTAATCTTCCTTTTTAGTAAGTTGAATGTCATTCTTTTTTGACAATATGCATGGAGCCGAACCTCCTGTGTAATTTTCTGTAGAAGTTGCGTTCTTTTGTCAACTTTGTATCCAATCTTCAGCCATAATTTCCATGTTTTGTAGCATTCTAAAATACTCTTTAGGATTGAAAGCTAATCCTTCTTTTCATCATGTTTGAGTGACTTTGTTCTTTGTTTACAATTCATAGATCACTTAGATTTTATTAACTATTTTTCTTCAGTTATGCTAATTAATATTGCATTTTTCATGTACTATAAACTGAATTAGATTTTATGAAACTCTTTGAGCATGATGTAGCTTATTTAAAAAATACTGTTGGACTTACATTGTTTGAGATTTCAAATGTATGCATTTATTTCAATAACAGCGTCTTACAATTTCATTTTGCTGAAATATCTAGCAGTATTTGATCCATCAACTTGAGATGTTCCCATAGAAGAAACAGAATTTTTACATTTTTCCTGTTCTCTATAGGAGTTGAGAAAATATCTGAAATTGTTTATCACCATTCAAGTATTGGGAATTATTTTAATAACTGTGAGGATATTTGGATTTTTCAAATATTGCTCAACATATTTCATAATATTTCTATCTGAGAATATCTGAATTTCTTCTATATTTTCAATGTATCAGAATTAAATGATTAATAAGCTCTATATTAGTATTTTTATATATAAATAGACCTCTTCAGCTCTCTTTGTGTATACACACACACACACACACAGAGTAATCTTATTGTTCGCACTGCTCCATCTTGCTGAGGTTCATAAATCTTTCTTGTTTATGATCACCAACTTTAAATTCTTCCAATTTTTACTTACTTCAATTTCCTTATAATGTCCACATTTTACCTTCAAGGTCTTGTGCTGAATTTGCAGTCATTGACCTACCTTGGTATGCATATTTTTTTTTTTTTAAAGACAGAGTTACCAAGGAAGGTAGAGACAGAGTGAGGCCTTCCATCTGCTGATTCACTCCACAGATGGCTGCAGCAACCAGAGCTGTGCTGATCTGAAGACAGGAGATTCTTCGGAGCCTCTCATGTGTGTGCAGAGGCCCAAGGACTTGGGCCATCTTCTACTGCTATCCCAGGCCACAGCAGAGAGCTGGATCAGAAGAGGAGCAGCTGCGACTAGAACTGGCACCCATATGGGATGCTGGTGCTTCAAGCCAGGGCTTAAGCCCACTGCGCCACAGTGCCAGGTCCACTATGCATACTTATTACCGTGTATGTCAGGTTGAGTTCTTTTGATATGAATTTTATAAATGTGTATACATATGTAAGCATAAGAATGTTCTTGAAGATTTATATTTTGAGCAGCAATGACTTTTGTCAAAGGCTAAGATTAGCCCCATTTGTGATATTTGATGAGTATCATCCTCAGGATGATATACTGCATGATTTCTAAGATAGTTTTTCACATAACACACAGTTTGTGTAGAGTTGCACTTTCTCACTCCAAGCATGCTACACTTGAATTTGGTGAAAGGATTTTTACCTGTATAAGCACAAGGAACCCAGACATGAGTTTTCCTATACTGAATTAGCACATACACCACACTACTCCCATGGACTGTACTCTGTTTCCAAAAACTTTCATTATCAACAATAAGTTTCAAAAAATTAGAATTATACTAAATATATGGTAAAAATAACTACTCATACAACACAAGCAAAAACTGGAAAATTTTTATGATGCATGTGATGGCATAGTTCTGATTCATGAAATAAATCTTAGAAATGCCACACTGTTTTATGGGGTGAATATTACCCAATCTTGGTTTCTATACATTTTTTACCATATGTATATCAGCCTGAACTCAAACATGGTCAGCATTACAGAGACATTCAGTCTTTTATATGCTTTCAAAAATAATATAGGGAGTGTATTGTGGAAAGTTTTATCCTTTTGTGGATTATTATTGATTATAAGGATTAATTTCTACCTGAAAGGGGGAAGACTGTTCTCAGCAGTCATATTCCACATACTTTTTTTCATGGATAAGTTGATAATTTAAGAAACAGGTGGTAACTTCTCCAAGAGGCAGGCACTGACTTACCTGTCTGATTGGAAATCTCGTTCTCAGGACAAGGTGTGCAATCAAAACAACAGGCAGGCTTTCCCTCCAGAGGGCTTTTTCCTGAATCCAGGGCTGCAACTCACACTGCATACCGAGCGTGGAGTCTGAGAAAAATCAGATGAGTGTTGATCGTAATTCAGACTATTACTTAAGTTCCAAGTCCTGCAAACTTATTCACTGAAACTGTAAACATCTGTTTCTGAGAAAATGACAACATTCAATTTGATTTTCTTAAATAGATTCAAAAGATGTGGTGGAAAATGTGTGTGTACTGTCCATCCTCAGACACTAAAAACATAAGAAAGTATTTGGATTGGAAGTGGAGTGGTTTAATGTCCCTAAGTGTCTTTTGAATAAGCCATACTGCACATACTCCCTTAGCAGTTGGGGGGTAGAAATGTGTCATGTGAACCTTATGATCAGTCCAACTTACCTCTGTAATTCCTGTGGCCCACTCTATCAAATTCTCAGAGAGAGACAACTGTTCACTCTGTGAAACATATGGGGAAAACCGTCCTACTTTAACCTTATGTCCAAAACCATATGGAAAATTCCAAAAGTTGAGAATGTCGTATTCAGCTTCCAAATTTCTCTGTGATTCAAATTCACTAGGTCACCAGCTGGATTGGTAAACTGGAGATTCTTCAGAAATGGGTGCAACTGAAAAAAATGCATCATATTCTCATGAAGACTGCCAAGCAATAACACATGAAACCCAGGTAAGAGAAAACCTCTCTTTGTCTGTAATCACAAATAAACAATAGAACCTGTTTAGAACCACCCAATGAATTGAAGTAAAAAAAAATAAACCTGATGAGAACTACATCAAGGTAAGTATGATTTCACTCATTTTTCTACAAAAACAAGTGGAATCAAAAATATCTAGCTGTGAGATTCAGATCATTTCCAACAGTGCAGTCCAAGCTACCAACACTCATTTTCTCAGTGTACCTAGGACAACTATCTGTAATAAAGTTACTAGAATAAAGAACTGTGCAAATTATATGAGATCCCTTATGTTCATTGTAGATGAACACCCTCAGCAACACTTAACACTGAAAATAATCACTGTACTGCTGAGACTGAAAATGGAATAACACAGTCTAGGTATTTCACATGTCAAAATTAAATTGACAGAATTGGAGTGTATTTTTAAGTCATAGAATTGATGCTTATCCAAATTACCTGCCCACTTTTCATTGGAGCCTTTTTGCTAATGACAAATTACAGGCAGAAGCTCATTTTTATCTTGTGTTTTGCAGAAAGGTTTCCAAGCTACTTGGATTGAACACCTGCAGAAACTCTTAAGGGCATCACTTCAGGAGTACATGTCAATAATGGAAACCAAGTCACCTGCCAGGGAGAAAATGCCAACTTTGACCCATTGTTCACTGGCTGCATTTCTACCTCTTGTAGAAGCATCTCATGCACACTGTGGGCCACAGCATACACAGCATTGTATATGTTGTAACTCCCATCACTCATGGTCATATCAAAACGATGCGGAGGCAAGGATTCCAAGGAAGCATTCAGTGGACAGTTCTGCAAAGTTTTACAGGATGTCCCAGTAACTGAGCAATTAAAAGCCAGCAACCAGAATCTGGAGAGGTAAGAGTCTTCTGGGTACTTGGAAGGGTTAGCTGTCCGAAGAAAGTTTTTGAAACCAGAGATCTCAGCATGGTGGTGTGAAAAAATGAGAGTCCCATGGAATGAGTGGAACAGGAAAGGTTTCTCAGAACTGGCAAAATCCCATTGTGAAGTGGTGACCCAGACTTTCCACATCATTAACTCCCTCCATGATTGAAAGCTGGCGCCTATGAGTGACTCAGTGACACAGAAAAGAATCACCACATTTGCTGATGATTTTAGGATATGGATATGAAACACATATTGGAATGAAGAAAGTGACTCTAGAGTGGCTGGGATCAATTCCACAAAATCTATACAGATGCCATGCTTGTGTAACTCTACTTTCAAATCAGACATAAACTGAACACCTTTTGGGAGGTCTGAGATGGCCAAACCCACCCAGGTCCACCCAAAATGGAGCATCAAGGAGGCCATGCCATGGGCCAGAGAAGTGTCTTTGGGGGTCATCTGATAGAGGGAAGGAAACTGACCACTGTCACTCAGAAGAGGTTCAAAAGGTCCAAGAGTCAGCTAAGGGAAAAGGCAAGAAATCTGTGTAAGGTTATTGTCATAGTGTAAAACATTATTCCTGAAAAAATTAAGCAGATAATGGAAGTGTCAGATTTTAGAACTATTTCATTTTTATCATGTCCCAGTACATAAAAGCTTCCTAGTTCATGAATCATTAGACTCACAGGTTGAAAAAACATTTCTCCTTTTTACTCACCCACACTTCTGCTTCAGAACAAATGTGGCTAATCCACAAAATCTCTGCACGTCTTCTCTTTAGATCACATACTGTGTCAACTGTATAAGGTCTCTGTCCCTTAAATTTTTGGTTCTAAGTAAGGCACCTAAGGTGATGTACTTTATCCCACTTTTTCACTACACACTCACCTGTGGAATTTTGTAGAGTTCCAGCAGTGTCCCCATTTGGACAGCAATGCTGCTTTGTGATATTACAGCAACAGACTTGCTCTGTTTCCTACATGTGTAATTAGGAATGTCCTCTTCCAGTCCCACAAGCCAGATGAAGGGGTTCTCCATTACTGTCATAGCACTGTGCATGACATTATAGAGACCAAATCCCAAGGTCATGTTGGGTAAAAGATGGGGGTTTTTGTTGATCTCCTCAATAGCAAAAACCAAGGCCAGAGCATACTGGTAGTTTTTGGACTGAAACCTGCATGAAATACACAAGGATCTTAAGGGGAAAGCCTCCAATCCAGATTATCTTCAATTCTGTGATTACTGTGAGAGATGGAATGGTCATGGCCAAACATTCATATGTTCTAATCTGTATGTGTAGATTTGCTGAGTACAGAGTGTGAACTGTTGTATTTGCAGGACACGTCCTCACCAGAACCAAAGCTGCTACCAGCTTTTACTGGTTTCCAAGCCTAAATGATTCTGAAAAATAAGATCTGCTTTTACATCATAATGTCTTGGGTATGTTATCCCATGGTTGTACATGAAGTCAAAGAACATGATCTTATTTTTGGATGCACACCTCATCAATTTAAATCACCTCTGAAACAGCTACCTCTTCTAAGTGTTTGTATTTGATATCTAAAGTAAATACTACAACAGGCTCTGGAATGCCCTCTCTAAAGTTCATGCACACCTAGGAGTACACTCCAGTTGTCAAAGAAAGCATGACAAGGAATGGCACATCATCTTTAGCACTGCCTCTAAATGTTTCCTACATTCACAAACTAAAATGATTCTTCATCTTACCACATCATTAAGTGCTTCTTGAAATAGCAGTCATACAATCATAAGGCTGCAGGTTGTAATGGGAAGAGAATAACTCACTTGAAGGCTATGTAATTGAGAAGAGGGATGATGCCATGGCACTAAAATGGGAGTCTGTAATTGATCCTGAAAAATCTCTTCCCCATTAAACTTATCCATCAACCTCCATCACAAGCCATGAAAATAAAAATCGGGTTCAGAGCTTCAAATAAGGGAAATAGTGAAAAGGGAGGAGCACTTTAGAGAAGCTGGAAACACTCCCTGGGTGAACATGAATCCCTGGGCTATGATGCTTTACAATTAAGCCAGTCATGCATTTAGAACACTAAACATATGCTAAAGTAAATCATTATGAGTAGTATCAGTATTTACTCCAAACAGGCCTTCTTCACTCAAGTTTTCCTACAATTTTGAATATAAATAGCCTTCCATGCATAGAAAATGATGCATTTCTACTTTTTAGGATCTGACATTTCACAAAGAATGTAAATGAGGAGCCCCTTGAATTTATTTCTGATGTCCTGTGTGTTGATTCCTCATGAATAGACTATGTCCATGTACACTGCTTGCTTAGGGTCACTGTGTGCTCCAGAGGAAGTGACAGTTTTTCAGTTCTTGGTTCTTGCTGCAACATAATATTTATATATGTATTCATATTATATACATTTATCTCTATATATTTATACATAGGTATACCATGCATACAGTGCTATACATATATAGTGTTTTATGTATATATAGTTTCTATACATATTTATTATCCAAATATGTCATTCATACTTTGTAGAATCAGGAAATTTGAAAATCATTGCTATGAATCAAATAAAATTCAGTTTTGTATTTCATATATCTGTTTCTCTCCTCATTACTATGACACTTCCATTATTCCGAATCCTCTCATTTCTTTCTCCAGCTGCTGCCTTGTACCAAAATGTCTAGACGGCTCTTGGACACACTGGAATTTGTAAGAGTTTATCTCTTTTATGCTGTGTTCTTTTTTTTTTAAATTTTTTTTTGACAGGCAGAGTGGACAGTGAGAGAGAGACAGAGAGAAAGGTCTTCCTTTGCCATTGGTTCACCCTCCAATGGCCACCGCAGCCGGTGCGCTGCAGCCGGCGCACCGTGCTGATCCGGTGGCAGGAGCCAGGAGCCAGGTGCTTTTCCTGTTCTCCCATGGGGTGCAGGGCCCAAGCACTTGGGCCATCCTCCAATGCACTCCCTGGCCACAGCAGAGAGCTGGCCTGGAAGAGGGGCAACTGGGACAGAATCCAGTGCCCCAACCGGGACTAGAACCTGGTGTGCCAGTGCCGCTAGGCGGAGGATTAGCCTAGTGAGCCGCGGCGCCGGGCATGCTGTGTTCTTTTTCTCTAAAACAGTTTTTCAGTAACTGTTGTATATTCTAAAGTTGGTGAATCTAACATTGGAGGGTACAGTGCCTAAATGTATTAACAGCTCAGTATTTCTTGTTTTTCCAAGTATCATCAACACAGATATTTTCCCTGGGTTTGTTAAGATTTGATTATGATCTCCAGTTTGCATGGCATACATCTTGGAGGAACTTGGGCTCTATTCATAGCCTCTTTTCCTACTACTGGAAAGTCATTATTTCCTGGTCTCCATCATTAAGGGTACACTTAAATGATGTGCTGAATGCATAACCATGGGGAATACTACTAGTAGTAACAAATATATATTTCATAAGTGGGATGACATGTGCACATATCATAGAATGTGAATTAATAAAAATCTATGTGAGGAGAATAATATTGTTATGCCAAGCTAGTATCCATTAGATTTTTTCTGCAGAGATCTTTGGACAAATGCCTAAAATACTTCATCAGTTGCATTTCCTTGGTGGCACCAACTATACTTCTCAAATCCATTGGCTTTAATGATACTGAAATGATCTATGTCCTAATACCTACCTTTTATCAAAGTTCTATGCAGCTGCAACCTACTTCCTGTAGCCTTACAGTAGAAACCAATGAGAAAATTGGCACCTTCATAAACAGGTTTGAAGAAACAGTCCTAATGTCTTACAAGATACTATATTCTGTAGGCATGAAATTTATACATACTATATATATATATATATATATATATAATGAAACACATATTTAGCTACAATAAAGTACCTTTAAGAGGGGCAGAAACAGAATAATCCCCCTTAAGAAATCTATTTGCCCAGAAAAGGCAGAATCAGGGAAAAATTGCAAATGTAGTAGATTACAGCCATTGAAGTTCTTATGGGTATATTCATCAGTAAAATATAATTACTATATTGTGCAAAGGTGTTGCCCTGAGATTACTTTATATAGAAAAAACTTTTGAATCTTTTCTCCTTTACAACTGTAGAAGAAATGAAGTGTTCTCATGGCCCCAAATCTAGTACATAGCAGAAAAGAGTGTGAGCACATTGGAAGAGCTCATGTAACTCAGATTTGTTCATTTCAGTGCATGGGGTCTGTAAGAATCTGCTACTGAGGCACATAGGCCCCTGGGCTGATGAACCTGGACAGGGAAGGACAGGAAGATACCAACCGGACTCTGGTTCCTCCTCTGATGAGACACCATTTCCCTGAACCATCCATGGTGCCAGGCAGAAGAAATGTCTTCCTCATGCCCCAAATCAATTACCAGCAGTTTTTAGGAGGAACAGAAGATGGACATGGCAGGGATACAGAACATATTTGCCTATAGAATTGCAGACCTAATAACAAGTAGGTAATATGTGAATTAATGGAAAATGATTATGGCAAGGACAACTTACCATCTGAATCTGCGATATTTGCTGAACCACATCATGGTTTTGGGAATCTCATATGTGTAAATGTGCAAAAAAGCAGCAATCTCAATATCTCCATCCTTGTAAAAACTCTGTTCCATCTGGGAATAGCAGTCGGGAGCATCCTGACAAGTCACAAGGAGATACAGCTGCAGAAGAGCAACAGAAAAATCAAAGGAACATCTTCAAATGTGTAAAACCCTAGGACACAACAGCAGTGACATGCAGGGTCATGCAAGTGCATACATAGAGCAGTGCGCATGTGTGTGTGTGTGATTGCTTGAAACTAGCCACTTTAATACTGCTCCATCTGACCTCCTTCCAACAGCTGTCCACTCATCCATGGGGGAATCTGATACTTTTCCTGCCCTGAGGCTCTGCAGGTTCAGGTCTTCTGTCCTGGTGAAAAACACAAGAAGAAAACATGATTGTGAATCATCCTCCTTGCCCCAGGTGCCAGGCTTTCCTCCAAGTCCATGGAGACAAAGATTCAAGGAAGAAACCCCTGATAGTTACATTTGTTGCAAGGGTTTGTCAATAAACCTCTCCATGAACTTTTTCCAATTATGTACTGGGATTGCATCACAGGGCATAAAGGGAGGCATCAGTCAAGGCTTTCTGTAAGGATTCAGACAAGAAAACTCCAGTATCACACAATACAATGTCCCAAAATGCAACAGGGCAGCCTCCCTCAGCCAGTGTTCTGGGCAGCCACACATCGCTTTGTTAGCACATAGACCCCCAAACCAACCTGTTACAGAGATACCCACTAGGACATGTGGTTTTCAATCAGTGTGGAACCAGTAATCACCCTGAATTCAGATATTTTCATTCTGCATGTCTAATCACTTCATCTTTAGTTGTAAAGCATAAAACCTTTCCATGTTGCTGTTAACCATGGAATCCCATGATGATCTGTTTGCACACCTACAACCTTGGTTGATGCTCTCATGAGAACCTGGGACTATTTGAGTACTGCTCGCTTTTTACTCTAAAGCAGACAATACCAGCTGAATGTCACCTCTTTATTCCCACCACCACAAACACCATGGGCAGACACCTGTACTTCTTGAATGCAAGTGACTTTCAGGATTATTATGTAGGACACCATCAGGTCAGCTATGTACCATTAAAACCATAGCCCAATCTACATTCTGCCACAATACAAGAGTGAACACAATGGATACCATGTCCTATAGGCAATAATGAGGATCAATACGGACTAATCATTTAAGCTTGCATACCTGTGTGAGGTATTGCCAATGGAGAAAATCTAGTAAGTGGGGTAGAGAGGGCATATATATGAGAACTCTATTTTTCCACTCAAAAGGTTTCTAAACTCAAATTACTGTAAATGTGGTCCCTAATATTTTAAGCAAAACACATTTTCTATGGCCTAGCCACTGCTCTGATGTCATTAGTGAGATTTTGATTAGGTGCTCATGCAAAGTGAGATGCAGTGTAGGGACAAAATACACAACAGGATTCAGTGACTTGCCTAAAAATGAAAATATGTCTTCATGAGTTAAGTTTATTACCAGTCAAATGATGAAACTTGTTTCTATTCAGATAAACAAGAAAAGTCAATCTAAATCAGAGAGCAAGTATCAACTGTTTTCTCTAATGTGTAGAAACTAAAAGTAGAGTCAATGTGAATGCACATGATTTACTGAAAAAAAAATTGGGAATGGAGAGGATGAACTCCTTGCAATTACTAGTCTTCATAAAATTTGTGGCAAATGTGTGTTATGAAATAGTTGTACATGAATTATAAAAATTATCACAAGAGATATATTCAATAATTTTTGCTTAAGTGTTTCTTTCATATTTAACATTTTTATCTTCTACATTCTTAATGCTAAATTTGATATTTGATATTTTTATAGCTTGTAATGAATGCTTCCATTCTAGAACTTTAGACTTATTTTAGGGGAAATATATTCTAACTACATAAACATATATGGAATCTGAGATCATACATTTCTGTATAAATTGAACTTTAGCAACAACATCATAAAAGTTGACAATATTTTTTCCATTTGACACTTTTTTTCACTTTTATTTAATGGATATAAATTTCCAAAGTACAGCTTATGGATTACAATGGCTTCCCCCCCATAACGTCCCTCCCACCCGCAACCCTCCCCTTTCCCACTCCCTCTCCCCTTCCATTCACATCAAGATTCATTTTCAATTCTCTTTATATACAGAAGATCAATTTAGCATACATTAAGTAAAGATTTCAACAGTTTGCTCCCACACAGAAACATAAAGTGAAAAATAATAGATGATTTTTTAATGATGATGAATCAGATCAGACCTATTGTAATGTTTAATTCCAGTGAGAGTCAAGTTGGGAAGTGATAATTTCTTTTTTTTTTTTACAGAAGATCAGTTTAGTATACATTAAGTAAGATTTCAACAGTTTGTACCCACATAGAAACATAAAGTGAAATATAATGTTTGAGTACTCATTATAGCATTAAATCTCAATGTACAGCACACCAAGGACAGAGATCCTACATGAGGAGTAAGTGCACAGTGACTCTGTTTGTGACTTAACAAATTGACACTCCTGTTTATGGCATCAGTAATCTCCCCTATGCTCCAGTCATGAGTTTCCAAGGCTATGGAAGCCTTTTGAGTTCTCCGATTCTTATCTTGTTTAGACAAGGTCATAGTCAAAGTGGAGGTTCTCTCCTCCTTCAGAGAAAGGTACCTCATTCTTGAAGACCTGTTCTTTCCACTGGGATCTCACTCACAGAGATCTTTCATTTAGGTCTTTTTTTTTTTGCCAGAGTGTCTTGGCTTTCCATGCCTGAAATACTCTCATGGCTTTTCAGCCAGATCGGAATGCCTTTAGGGCTGATTCTGAGGCCAGAGTGCTGTTTAGGACATCCGCCATTCTATGAGTCTGCTGTGTATCTTGCTTCCCATGTTGAATCACTCTCCCCTTTATTCTATCGGTTAGTATTAGCCAGACACTAGTCTTGTTTATGTGATCCCTTGACTCTTATTCCTTTCATTATGATCAGTTGTGAACTGAAATTGATCACTTGGACTAGTGAGATGGCATTGGTACATGCCACCTTGATGGGATTTAATTGGAATCCCCTGGTATGTTTCTAACTCTAACATTTGGGGCAAGTCTGCTTGAGCATGTCCAAATTGTATATCTCTTCCCTTTCATATTCCCACTCTTATGTTTAACAGGGATCACATTTCAGTTAAATTTCAACACTTAAGAATGACTGTGTATTAATTACAGAATTAAACCAGTCATATTAAGTAGAACAGACAAAAATACTGAGTGGGATAATGTATTAAGTTGTCATTAACAGTCAGGGCTATGCTGATCAAGTCACCATTTCTCATAGTGTCCATTTCACTTCAGGAAGTTTCCTTTTTGGGTTCAGTCAGTTGTCACGATCAGGGAGAACATATGGTATTTGTCCCTTTGGGAGTGGCTTATTTCACTCAGCATGATGTTTTCCAGAATCCTCCATTTTATTGCATATGACTGGATTTCATTGTTTCTTACTGCAGAATAGTATTCTAAAGAGTATATATCCCATAATTTCTTTATCCAGTCTACCGTTGATGGGCATTTAGGTTGGTTCCAGGTCTTGGCTATTGTGAATTGTTCTGCAATAAAAATTAGGATGCAGACCGCTTTTTTGTTTGCCAATTTAAATTCCTTTGGGTAAATTCCAAGGAGTGGGATGGCTGGGTTGAACGGTAGGGTTATCTTCAGGTTTCTGAGGAATCTCCAGACTGACTTCCATAGTGGCTTGAGCAGTTTGCATTCCCACCAACAGTGGGTTAGTGTCCCTTTTTCCCCACATCCTCGCCAGCATCTGTTGTTGGTAGATTTCTGTATATGAGCCATTCTAACCATGGTGAGGGGAAACCTCATTGTGGTTTTGATTTGCATTTCCCTGATTGCTAGTGATCTTGAACATTTTTTCATGTGCCTGTTGGCCATTTGGATTTCCTCTTTTGAAAAATGCCTATTTAGGTCCTTGGCCCATCTCTTAAGTGGGTTGTTGGTTTTGTTTTTGTGGAGTCTCTTGATCTCTTTGTAGATTCTGGTTATTAACCCTTTATCTGTTGCATAGTTTGCGAATATTTTTTTCACATTCTGTCAGTTGTGTCTTCACTCTCCTGACTGTTTCTTTTGCAGTACAGAAACTTCTCAATTTGATGCAATCCCAATAGTTGATTTTGGCTTTGACTTCCTGTGCCTGCCGGGTCTTTTCCAGAAATGCTTTGCCTGTGCCAATATCTTGAAGGGTTTCTCCAATGTTCTCTAATAACTTGATGGTGTCAGGTCGTAGATTAAGATCTTTAATCCATGTTGAGTGGATTTTTGTGTAAGGCGTAAGGTAGGGGTCTTGCTTCATGCTTCTGCACATGGAAATCCAGTTTTCCCAGCACCATTTATTGAATAGACTGTCCTTGCTCTAGGAATTGGTTTTAGATCCTTGATCAAATATAAGTTGGCTGTAGATGTTTGGGTTGATTTCTGGTGTTTCAATTCTGTTCCATTGGTCTATCCATCTGTTTCTGTACCAGTACCATGCTGTTTTGATTACAACTGCCCTGTAGTATGTCCTGAAATGTGGTATTGTGATGCCTCCGGCTTTGTTTTTGTTGTACAAGATTGCTTTAGCTATTCGAGGTCTCTTTTGCCTCCGTATGAATTTCAGCATCATTTTCTAGATCTGAGAAGAATGTCTGTGGTATCCTGATTGGAATTGCATTGAATCTATAAATTGCTTTTGGGAGAATGGACATTTTGATGATGTTGATTCTTCCAATCCATGAGCATGGAAGATTTTTCCATTTTTTGGTATCCTCTTCTATTTCTTTCTTTAAGGTTTTGTAATTCTCATCGTAGAGAACTTTAACATCCTTGGTTAAGTTTATTCCAAGGTATTTCATTGTTTTTGTTGCTATTGTGAATGGGATTCATTTTAGCAGTTCTTTCTCAGCCGTGGCATTGCTTGTGTATACAAAGGCTGTTTATTTTTGTGCATTGATTTTATATCCTGCTATTTTGCCAAACTCCTCTGTGAGTTCAAATAGTCTCTTAGTAGAGTTCTTTGGATCCTCTACGTAAGGAATCATATCGTCTGCAAAGAGGGATAGTTTGACTTCTTCCTTCTCAATTTGTATTCCTTTAATTTCTTTTTCTTGTCTGATGTCTAAAACTTCCAGAACTATGTTAAATAGCAGTGGTGAGAGTGGGCATCCCTGTCTGGTTCCAGATCTCAGTGGAAATGCTTCCAACTTTTCTCTATTCAATAGGATGCTGGCCATGAGTTTTGCATAAATTGCTTTGATTATATTGAGGAATGTTCCTTCTATACCCAATTTGCTTAGAGTTTTCATCATGAAAGGGTGTTGAATTTTATCGAATGCTTTCTCTGCATCTATTGAGATAATCATATGATTTTTCTTCTGCAGTCTGTTAATGTGGGGAATCACATTGATTGATTTATGAATGTTGAAAAATCCCTGCATACCAGGGATAAATCCCACTTGGTATGAGTGGATGATTTTCCTGATGTGTTGTTGTATTCTATTGGTGAGAATTTTATTGAGGATTTTTGCGTCTATGTTCATCACGGATATTGTTCTGTAATTCTCTTTCAATTCTCCATCTTTTTCCGGCTTAGGGATTAAGGTGATTCTGGCTTCATAGAAGAAATTTCAGAGGATTCCCTCTTTTTTTGATTGTTCTGAATAGTTTGAGAGGAAATGGGATTATTCTTTAAATGTCTGTTAGATCCATTTGGGCAATAGTGTCAATTAAATCTGCTGTTTTCTTGTTGATCTTCTCTCCGGATGATCTGTCTATTTCTGAGAGGGGAGTATTGAAGTCCCCAGTACTATTGTATTGGAATCTAAATCTCCCTTTAAGTCCCTTAACATATCTTTTAAATGGACTGGTGCCCTGTAATTAGGTGCATATACATTTATAATAGTTACATCTTCCTGTTGAATTGTACCCTTAATCATTATATAGTGTCCCTCTTGTCTCTCTTAACAGTTTTGTATTAAAGTTTATTTTGTCTGATATTAATATGGCTACACCTGCTTTTGGTTTCTGTTGGCATGGAATATCTTTTTCCAACCTTTCACTTTCAGTCTGCATGCATCTTTGTTAGAGAGATGTGTTTCTTGTAGGCAACAAATAGTTGGGTTGTGTTCTTTGAGCCAATCAGCCAATCGTCTCTTTTAACTGAAGAGTTAAGACCATTAATGTTTAATGTGACTATTGATACATGGTGACTTTACTCTGACATTTTCCCAGAGATATTTTCTAGTATATGCTTTGAGCTTTCATTCTCTTTTACTGGTAGGTTTTCTTCCTTTACCTTCTTTAATATTGATGGCCGTGTTTCTGTGTTTCTGAGTGTAGCCCATCTTTAAGTACCTTTTGCAGGGCCGGACGAGTGGCCACAAAGTCTTTCAATTTCTGTTTGCTGTGAAAGGTCTTTATTTCACCTTCATTCACAAATGAGAGCTTAGCAGGATATAATATTCTGGGCTGGCAGTTTTTCTCTCTTAGCACCTGTGCTATGTCTCGCCATTCCCTCCTTGCCTGTAGTGTTTCTGATGAGAAGTCTGCTGTGAGTCTGATTGGAGATCCTCTGAGAGTAATCTGACATGTCTCTCTTGCACATTTTAGGATCTTTTTTTATGTTTCACTGTGGTAAGTTTAATGACCACGTTTCGTGGTGAGGATCTCTTTTGGTCATGTTTATTGGGGGTTCTATGAGCTTCCTGTACTAGGATGTCTCTGTCCTTCTCCAAACCTGGAAAGTTCTCTGCTAGTATCTCACTAAAAAGGCCTTCTAATCCTTTCTCTCTCTCCATGCCTTCAGGAACTCCTAGAACCCGAATGTTGGTTTTTTTAATAGTATCCTGTAGATTCCCAACAATATTTTTTAGATTTCTAATTTCCTCTTCTTTTCTTTGGTTTGACTGTATCCTTTCCTGTGCTCTGTCTTCTAAGCCCGATATTCTCTCTTCTGCTTCACCCATTCTGTTTTTAAGGCTCTCTAATGCATTTGTCATTTGATCTATTGAATTCTTCATTTCATTTTGATTTCTCTTCACTATTACACTTTCCTGTTCTAGTTTCTGCATTTCATTTTGATTCTTCCTTAAAATTTCATTTTCATGAGAGAGATTTTTAATCCTGCCCCATAAGGATTTCTGTAGTTCAAGGATTTGCTTTTGAAAACTTCTGAATGTTCTTATCATAAATTTTTTGAAATCCGCATCTTGCATTTCTTCTATCTCATCATCTTCATAATCTTGGCTTGGGGTGTTTTGTTTATTTGGAGGCATCATAGAGTCATCGTTGATCTTGTTCCCTCGATTTTTGTGTTTGTTTCTTGGCATAGTTAATTCTTCTTCCCTCACTGTGCGTTTTTTTTTATTTTTTTTATTTTATACTATGTCCGTGTTAAGTGGATGGCCTGCTGTTGGAGGAGCCTTGGAGGCTTGAGATGGGTGTGGCCTGAGGGCTCAGCTTGGTTCTTCCGGGTTATGGGTGTGCAAAGGTGACACCCTCATGTTATGGGTGGTAAATCTCTCTCTATTTATTTATTTATTTATTTAATTTATGTATTCAGGAGGTAAGTACTACTGCACAGCATGGCCGAGCAGAATTGATGGTATTTAGCTTCTGATCTCTGGCTTCTACCCAACGAGTCTGTGCAGGCTCCATTTCTCCTCTGGACTCCCACTGGGTTGCCTAGGCTACTGAATTGTAGCGAATCAGTTCGTTAGCTCTCCCCTGTTGTAATGTATATCCCAAGTGGGGCCTGCTCTTTGTCTCTTGCTTGCCTTTGCAAGGTTGGCGGGGAGAGAGAAACTTGTCTGTACCAGTACCCCCCCACACCTTTTTTCCTTCTCTCCTGTAGTCAGTCTGGTGAAATTTCCTGCTCCCCTCTAGATTCTGACCACCGTTTCCCCGCCAATGTCTCGGGTTACTGAGCTCACCTCCCCTTCCAGCGCCAATGTGTGGACTCAGAGCCTTGGGCGTCCCTGCTCTCCCCGCTGGTGTCTGTGTGACATCCACTCCCCTTCCTGCACTGGTGCACAGACCCTGTGGCTCCCGCAGTGGCTCGGCTTCTGCGCAGTGGGTGACCTTGTTCTCCCAGTAGGTCCTCTGAGTCACAGCCACTAGATCTGGAAGAGTTTCCTCTGCATTTTTTTCCTGATCCTTTTTCTGAGGCTACTGTAACTCCACTTTTATTAAACTAAATTTTCCCGGACTATCGGTGTGCACCCTCACTATTCCACCATCTTGGCTCCGCCCCTTTGACACTTCTAATAATTTCTATTGAAGTCCAATAACATATAACTTCCTTCAAAACAATTTCCAAAAATTAAAACGTGCACCTTTGAGTTGTTAAGTTTAGAGTTCTCTGTGTGTATAGGGAACACACATAAGAACTTCCACTCAGTCTGCACTGAGAACACTGTCTCCAATGAATTCTATCCTGGACTATCTTCTCAGGCTCAATACACTTCAAATCAAAAGTAGAAATCACTATAAGCACGTTGTAACATTAATATCATAGCATGCAGTAAAGGAAACTAAGAGAATCCACAATTCAGAGTTGAGCTAGCACGTCAATACTCACTGTATCAATTCTCAGTAACTCCAAATTAGCTATGCTGGTATGTGAAGTCTACAACACTGCATTTTTTAAACCATTCTGCATTATGTCTCAGCCAAAAAGCCCCAAATCATCCTCTCAATATAACAGAACATGATACTTTGCTACTTTCACCATTTATGGTTATCTACCAAGAATCTGTTTCTACCATTATCCATCTAAGCTAGGACTAATACTGCTGATTACTGGGGAGACACCAAGATGGCTGAATGGGAAGGACATACTGTTTTAGGCTAGGAGATATAAAAGTAAAAGTGGAAGAAACACATTCTCATGGGAGAGTTAGAAACTAATCCACAGTGGGCATTCTATGGAAGGAAGAAGAATGCTGTGGATCAGTGTGGAAGGTACAGACATGCTGTATGTTCAAGGACACAACAAAAAATCCCAGCAGCCAAGAGCCAGAGAAAACAACAGTATATTGGAGAGGGAGGGGTGATCCACCTGCAGTGCCTGAGCCACTGATTATGTAATTGGAGGGAGAACTTACAAGAGTCAAACACCTGATAGAAAATGCAAGAATATGGCTATATATGGTTCCAGATACATGTTTACAACATACATATTACAAATTGAAGGAACAATGAAAATATCATCCAAACTGTGTAAAGGAATTGAACAGACATTCCTGCACAAATAGATGAGCCAAAGGCCTTACCAAGGGTGCTAAACATTAGTAGACCTAGAATACTACTCAAAATCACACTAAGATATCACCTCACATCTGCTCAATTGGCTACAATAGTTTTTGTTTTTAAAGATTTTGTTTGAAAGGAAGAGTGATGGAGTGAATGTGAGTGAGACAGTCAGAGAGAGAGGGAGAGATAGAGAGAGAAATTGTCTTCCATCCCATGGTTCACTCTCCAAAGACCACAACAGCTGGAGCTGAGCCAATCCAAAGACAGGAGCCATGGACTTCTTCCAGGTCTCCCAAATAGCTGCAGAGGACCGAGAACTTGGGCCATCTTCCACTGTTTTCCCTGGCCATGAAGGGCACCTGATCCTTAGGGATCCTAGGGATCCTTAGAGATCCTTAGAGAAAAGACTCCATCCATGATTATTATCAACTCCAATCCTAGAACTTCTAGAGAATGAATGTTTTGTTGAAATACTGCTCTGTAGCATGATCATAGTTTTCCTCTAATAGCTCTGTTCTCTTCATCTCCTCGTCCTCCTCTTCTCTAGAAAGTTGTGTATGATCTCTGCCAAACAGGCTTTTGCTGAGAGTTTGTAAGTGGATATGATATATCATTCCATCCTTTATCTTTTCGAACAGGTCATCAGTGATAAGAAGATATCCTGAGGCTGGGAAATCAAACAGTTGGGGATTTAGTGGCTCAAGCAGTTATTTTAAATTTAATATTCTTTTATTCTACTGTCATCAACAAGTATCTATTTTTTCTTCATGTTTCTAATGAGGCTGCTTTACAAGGTATTTCTTCTGTGACTTTTCTTCTGTGAGGTTCTTTTGTCCTTATCGCAATCTTCTCCTCCACTTAATAACTGTGTCAGTGATGTTGGCTTCATAGAAAGAATTTGGGAGGATTCCCTCTTCTTTGATTGTTCTGAATAGTTTGAGAAGAATTGGAGTTAGTTCTTCTTTAAATGTCTGGTAGAATTCAGCAGTGAATCCATCTGGTTCTGGGCTTTTCTTTGTTGGGAGGGCCTTTATTACTATTTCAATTTCTGTCTCAATTATGGGTCTGTTTAGGTTTTCTATGTCTTCATGGTTCAATTTTGGTAGATTGCATGTGTCCAGGAATCTATCCATTTCTGATAAGTTTCCCTGTTTGCTGGCATACAAGTCCTTGTAGTAATTTCTGATGATTCTTTTTATTTATGTGGTGTCTGTTGTTACATTTCCTTTTTCATCTCTGGTTTCATTGATTTGGATCTTTTCTCTTGTTTTTTTTAGTTAGTTGGGCCAATGGGGTGTCAATTTTGTTTATTTTTTCAAAAATCAGCTCCTCGTTTGGCTGATTTTTTGTAATGTTTTTCTTGATTCAATCCTGTTGATTTCTTCTCTGATTTTAATGATTTCTCTTCTCCTACTAGATTTGGGTCTGGTTTGCTGTAGGTTTTCTAGATCCTTGAGGTGAATTGAAAGCTCATCTATTTGGTGCCTTTCCAATTTCTTGATGTAGGCACCTATTGATATAAACTTTCCTCTTAACACTGCTTTTGCTGCAACCCATAAGTTTTGGTATGTTGTGCTGTTATCCTCATTTACTTCCAGAAAATTTTTGATTTCTCTTTTGCTTTCTTCTATGACCCATTGTTCATTCAGGAGCATGTTGTTCAATCTCCATGTGTTTGTGTATGCTCTAGGGATTCCTGAGTTGCTAATTTCCAACTTCATTCCTTTATGGTCTGAGAAGCTGCATGGTATGATTCTAATTCTTTTGAATTTGCTGAGACTTGCTTTATGGCCTAGTATGTGGTCAATCCTAGAGAAGGTTCCATGTACTGCTAAGAAGAATGTAAAGTCTTTAGATGTAGGATTGAAAGTTCTGTAGATATCTGTTAGATCCATTTGAGCAATAGTGTCGACTAAATCTGCTGTGGCCTCGGCAACTCATGACTGGAGCATAGGGAGATTACTGATGCCATAAACAGGAGTGTCAATTGCTAAAGTCAACAACAGGAGTCACTGTGCACTTACTCCTCATGTAGGATCTCTGTCCTTAATGTGCTGTGCATTGATATTTAATGCTATAACGAGTACTCAAACAATATATTTCACTTTGTGTTTCTATGGGGGTGCAAACTGTTGAAATCTTTACTTAATGCATACTAAACTGATCCTCTGGAAAAAAAAGAAATTATCAATTCCCAACTTGACTCTCACTGGAATTAAACATGACAATAGGTCTGATCTGATTTCATCATCATTTAAAAAAATCATCTATTATTTTTCACTTTATGTTTCTGTGTGGGAGCAAACTGTTGAAACCCTTACTTAATGTATACTAAGCTGATCTTCTGTATATTAAGAGAATCAAAAATGAATCTTGATGTGAATGGAAGGGGAGAGGGAGTGGGAAAGGGGTGGATTGTGGGTGGGAGGGACGGTATGGGGGGGAAGCCATTGTAATCCATAAGTCGTACTTTGGAAATTTATATCCATTAAATAAAAGTTTTTTAAAAAAAAGAACTGTGTCGGTTACTCCTGGTCATGGGATGGTCCCATGCTGAGTGATTTCATTTTCTTCTCCATGATTCAGAGTTTGTCTGGGATTCTTACATTAATTTTCCCTGGGCTGATTGTGACATACACATAAATCTTTTCCTTTTAGGATGGCTCTTAGCTTTTGTCTGTTGTTGCTTCCTGCGAAAACATTAATCGGTTTGCAATCCACTTCTTTTCTTCCTCTGGTTTTCTTGTCTAGCAAATTTAGGAAAGTAATCCAGATCATACTCTTTGAAAGACCTTGACTTGTATTAAATGAAGAAGGGAAATCTAAAAACACAAGGAAGTAGCATTGGATAGAGGTTCCTACTCATCACAAGGTTCCTGCCTCTGTCTCCTCATGAGAAACCTGTGCTCACAGTGCTGAAGCTCCTAACTTTGGCTGAAGATCTATGTGGGGGTGTTAGTTATGGCTGACTTGTGGATTTCTGCAAACTTCAGGTGTCACTCTGGAAGAGCTGACATGAGAGGTTCCACAAGAAAGAGCCCTTGGAACCATCCCCTACCCACTCAGGTGCATTCACTGCAGTCTTGCAGGAAAGTTCAAAACCATCCTCTGCCTCAGGCACCCTCTAGTGCCTGAGGGAGGTATTGACCCTGACAAAAAGGAAAAAGACCTAGGAATAAGAGCAATAGACAGCTCCAAGTCAAGACTGGGTGAACTGAAAAGCCCAAGCATAATGGAAGCAATTTCCATGGGAACACCAGATGGTCCTTCAGAAATAAACGTGTGTGTGTACAGGAAGGTTCCACAAGAAGCAGGCTTTGGAATCGTCCGCAACCCCTTCAGTCCATTTACTGTAGTCTTGCGGGCAAGTTCAAATCCACTCTCTACCTCAGGCAACCTCTAGTGCCTGAGGGCAGTATGACCCTGATAGAAAGGAAGGGAGTCGTGGGCATAAGCACAGTAGACAGCTCCATGTCAAAACTGGGTGAACTAAAAACTCCTAAGTATGATGAAAAGGATCTCCATGGGAACACTGGATATCCCTGCAGAAATAAACATGTGTGTGCACAGAAAATCTGAAAGACTATTTAGATAGGGGCTGCCTCTGAGCAATGGGATTGCAGTTGGTTTTCCTTTATCCATTATAAATACTTAGATTTATTTGCTCTACAGATACTATTAACAATAACTGAGAACAGGCCAATTTCACATTACATGTAAAAATCAATGACAGTGGGTTTCTTTTTAATCAAATAACAAGCCTATCATAAAATAGACAAATCATGAAAGACAAGTCATCACAGAATGTACTATTTAGTTAATACAGACTTATGATCTAGTTATGAATGATAGAAATTATAATCAAAAATATCATTGAAACATTAACACATGACTTAGTTTTTGCATGCAAAGAATATGGAATTTCAGTTCCAGTGATATTGCATTTTGTAATTAAAAAGAATAATGAGAAAAGACTTCACATGATGCTACATGCCTTACAGCTTGGAACTGCAGAGCAAGAAAGAAGCAGGATTGGACGGAGGCACCATATCACTGCTAGGGCAGGTGCTCATCCTCTGACCTCCACAAAGACCTATGCAATGTGAAGACAGACAGTGCATCCACCGGCACTCCTACTGTCTCAATACACCTGCCTGGATAATTCTGAAGCCAGGTAAGAATAGAAAGCACTGAGGGCTCTGGTGCAAGGTGAAGCTTCTGGCTCTGCTGTTGCCTGAGAAGCCTCACCTGAGCCAGTGGTGCACAAGATCCTGAATCAGCTGAAATCTCAAGCTAGGGGCTAGTGGCAGTCTGGGCAAGGGCCTCCACAAGCTTTCAGTGATGGTGGGGAGGTGACAACCCCAGAGCTGCATGAAAAAGTGCCCTGGGGGTGGCACTGTGGTGCAGTAGCTTAAGGCTGCACCTGCAGTGCCAGCATCCTACATGAGCGATGATTCATGTTCAGCTTCTCCACTTCCAATTCAGCTCCCTGCTATTTCACATGGGAAAGCAATGCAGGATGGCCAATGATTGGGACCCTACATGCAAGTGGGATACATGGAAGAAACTCCTGACTCCTGGTTTCAGATCAGCCCAGCACTGGCCTGTTGTCCATTTAGAGAGTGAAACAGTGGTTATAAGATCATTCTCTCTCTCTCTCTCTCTCTGTCTCTCTCTTCCTCTCAAGTAAGTAAATAAATATAATCTAATAAAATAAAAAAGAGGCCATGGGGTCTCCCTAGGTGGCATTTAGCACAGACTTATGGATAAATTCCATTTCATCATCAGCTATGGGTGCACTCTTAAGTCTGAGGGTGGCCCTGATTCCCTGAAGGAATCCAGACTTGTGAAGAAGAGGAAAAACAGACTCACTAACTGTAACCAATGTTAGATGGCAAAGACAACGTGAATATGGTTCTGCAGCACCAATGTCTGTCTAGTTTCAATGTAAGGGGTTTCATGTGACGCCAGAAGACCCAAGAAAGAGACATCTGTGTACAGCATATTCTGAAATAACAGTTAAAAAATGATTGCCTCTGAGGAATGATTGTGCAGGGTTTATCTATTTTTATATCTAATTTTGGATTTAATTTTCCATGTATACATCTTGTACAATAAAGGGGTAAATGATGCTTCCACATGGAAAATAAATGCCTATGCATTTCTACTGAAATATTAGCAGTCCTATTTTTAAGGTGGATTTTTATTTTTTCTCTTTTTCTTTATTTAGTAAATATAAACTTCCAAAGTACAGTTTATGGATTACATTGGCTTTCCCTCATAATTTCCCTCCCACTCACACCCCTCCCATCTCCCACACCCTCTCCCATTCCATTCACATCAAGATTCATTTTCAATTATATTTATATACAGAAGATCGATTCAGTACATATTAAGTAAAGATTTCATTAGTTTGCACTCACACAGAAACACAAAGGGTAAAAATACTGTTTCAGTACTAGTTATAGCATTACTTCACATTGGACAACACATTAAGGACAGATCCCCCATGAGAAGTAAGTACACAGTGACTCCTGTTGTTGACTTAACAATTTGACACTCTTGTTTATGGCGTCAGTGATCTCCCTAGGCTCTAGTCATGAGTTGCTGAGGCTATGGAAGCCTTTTAGGATCACCGAATTCGATCTTATTCGACAGGGTCATAGTCAAAGTGGAAGTTCTCTCCTCCCTTCAGAGAAAGGTACCTCCTTCTTTGATGGCCCCGTTCTTTCACTGGGATCCCACTTGCAGAGATCTTTCATTTAAGTTTTTTTTTTTTTTTTTTTTTTTTTTTTTTTGCCAGAGTATCTTGGCTTTCCATGCCTAAAATACTCTCATGGGCCCTTCAGCCAGATGCGAATGCCTTTCTTCAGCCAGATGTGAATGCCTTAAGGGCTGATTCTGAGGCCAGAGTGCTATTTAGGACATCTGCCATTCTATGAGTCTGCTGTGTATCCTGCTTCCCATGATGGATCATTCTCTCCCTTTTTTATTCTATCAGTATTCGCAGACACTAGTCTTGTTTGTGTGATCCCTTTGACTCTTAGACCTATCAGTGTGATTGTGAACTGAAGTTGATCACTTGGAATAGTGAGATGACATTGGTACATGCGACCTTGATGGAATTGTATTGGAATCCCCTGGCACGTTTCTAACTCCACCATTTGGGGCAAGTCCGATTGAGCATGTCCCAGATTGTACATCTCCTCCCTCTCTTATTCCCACTCCTATATTTAACAGGGATCATTTTCAGTTAAGATTTAAACACCTAAGAATAATTGTGTGTTAATTACTGAGTTCAACCAATAGTAGCAGTCCTATTTTAAAACAAAATAAGGAAACAAGCCAAGGCAGAATAGAATAGATTCTTCACAGAACGAATACACATATGTGCAACTCAATTATTACTTGCTCATTCTTCTGCATTTCCCCTGATTCCTCTTTATTTCTTAACATATCTTCCTACTTTTCTACTTCTTCCCTTCTCTAAAGGTCTGCAAGGCTGTTGGAATTCAAGTGGAACTTGTAACAGGATCAACTTTATAATTCCAACTTTGACTCTAAAAGCAGTTGGTTATTCGTTATTTTAAATTTTGAAATTGTCAGTTCTAATTGTTGAGAGCTATAAGTCAAAATAAATTGTTTTCAATTTAATATTGCTTTTTTAATGATCATCAACTATATCATATTTCTTGTGTGTTTGGACAGATTGGCTGTGAGCACCAGTGTATGATTTAAACCTGTGGAGAACTTGTATTCTTTATCTAGGATTGTCTCCTACAACAAGAACTTCATGAGCATTGCTCCCCACCATGTCTGGTTGGGCCCAGTTGAGGAACTTCATTTTCTTTTCCATAACACTGATCATTTGCATTACCATATTCATTTACCTAAGGGAATCATTTCTTTCAGGGAGGCTACTGGCTTTTGCCCAATGGTTTCCCCTCTGAAATGTTCTAGTGCTTGCAATGTTATTACTTTGCTCTTGGGTTTTCTCATCCTAAAAAGTCAGGAATTCAATCAAATTAACCAGCTGAGGATCTTCCTTAGTGGGGAAAATCCTTCAAGGACCTAGGTCACAGTTCCAACTCAGGACATCTCCCTTTTGGTTTCTGCCTTGGAATCTACTTTTTTCAGTGTGTAGGAAATGGAATTTTAAATGCAATCAGCTTGCATTGACTTAAAAAGGAGAAAGAATAAGGGGAAGAAACTTCACACAGTGCCACAAGACCTGCACCACCTGAGAAATGCAGAAAGAGGAAGCAGCAGGGTTAGGCAGAGACACCTGTCACCACTACAAGGAGGCACTGATCCTTGACCCCCACACATACCAACTGAGGCTGAAATCAGAGCATACGCCCAGCAGTCCCAGGGTATTCAGAAGCCATACTGACTATTCTAATGCAGTATCAAATTGGAAGGCTTTGTTTAAGCAGAAGTCAGAGCATCAGTGAAACCAAAGCAAACACAGACACAACCCCTGTCCAAACCATCTGAGCTCATATGGCCCCCAGAAAACATAAAATACAAATGGCGATAACGCTGCATCTCTAAATCTAATACCAGCAAGGTTCAAGTTGTATGATGAGACTCAGTACGAGCAAGATTCAAATTGCCAGATTATACCCAGGTGAACTGGCTTGGCAGAATAACAAGGGTAAAGCTAACTCTCATCTAACGTTGGGGTGCAGTGTGAAACAACGAGGCTGTATTCCCTAATGGAGGGTAGAGATGTGAGGTACTTTTCCAAGTCAGAGGAGACAAAAGAAAGAAGAAAGATTATTTTACATTATAGGAAAACTGGGCTTTTCCACAGCGAGGTGCTGGCAGGCCTCACTGGGCCCAGGAACATCCCTGGAAGGTGCACATCTCACCACAGAACGTGGCAGGGATTCTTGCATTCCCCTCGATGAGGCACTGAGAGACAGCTATGAGGGGAATACAGGGCCCTCCCTAAGGCTGGGACAGCACGACTCTTTCCAAGGTCTCAGTGACCCAGCATAGGGACCAGAAGAGGCCACATTGGGCCATGAAGGACACCTGTGTAAGATGCAGTTCTCACCTCTCTTCTCTCACGAAAAGCCTTAGGTGCCTCCCTTGGCTTCTGGCATCCACTTAAGACTCAAAGCAGGGGCTAGCGATGGCTGGTGTGTGGGTCTCTGCAAATTCCCAGAGTGGCAGGGAGGGGACAACCTGAGAGGCTAAATTTCACAGATCCCCTGGGGGGCAACTTCAGGTGCATTCAGGCAGTCTCTGGGCCAGGTTCCAACCCAGCACCATGGGTGCCCTCTGGGGGCAGCACACGGCACTGACCCCGACAGAAAGGTAGAAAGGCAGGAACAGGCCTGACTTAGGTAGAGGTCAAAACTGCAGGAATGTCGCACTCCAACAGCACATTTGTCCCATTTCAATCAGATCACTCCACCGCACCACTAAGGGTCCCTGACACAGACATGATTCTGAGCAGGACACATCTGACAGAAGACTGTGGTGGGAGCTGCCTCAGCAGTAGGATTGTGGTGGTTTTCCTTTATAAATGCATCAAAACTGGATTTATTTGCCCTGTGCCTACTACTTGCACCTTAAAGGCGGGAATATGATTTCCACATGGAAAATAAATTTCTCCGTTTCTTTTAAAGATAGATACAGGCCTGTGGTAATAGAGAAAATGGATGGAAAGCAATGCATTCAAGAATATATTCTTCCGATAATGCACAAACACCATCAACCCAACTAATAATACTAAATAATATATCATACTAAATAACATATCATCAAGGAGATATCATTTTCACATATAAAGCCAGAACATTGTTTTTAAAGAGGTCGATGTGAAAGGTACAGAATCTATTAGTGTAATTCCAGACAATTCTTTGGACATTACAATTAAAAATCGTTGTCACATGCATTGCCGTATATGCACACATCATATTTCTCGGGATCTATCTCAGCTGCTCCACTTCTGATCCAACTGTGCTAATGGCCTGGGAAAAGCAGTGAGGATGGCCCAAGGGTTTGAGTTCTGTACTCACATCTGAATGAGTCAGATGATGCTCATTCCTTCAGTCTGGTCCAGCTCTGGCCATTGCAGACAGGAGTCAACTAAAAGATAGTAGATCTCTCCTTCTTTGTCTCTCCCTCATTCTCCAAAACTCTTTCAAATAAATTCTACAAACTTGGATTAGCCAAGTGAGCCATGGTGCCAGGCCCATAGAACATCTTACTCCAACTGATTTAACTGTTGCCAGAATCTAACTATTACCAATCTGTTTCCAAGAAAACTGGAATGATACCAAGTATATGGTTAAAGTAACTACTCATCCATCACAAGCTAAAGCTGGAAAATCTTCCTGATATATGCAATGATCATATCTTACTGCTTAATGGAAAATATGAGAAATTCTACATAGTGTTCAGGAGTAAAAATTCTCCATTATTGATTTCTGTTCATTTTTTACAACACATGTAATCCCACAGATCACTTGGTCAGAGTGCCAGTGACACTGAATCTTTCTTATGTTTTCTTGAGTACAAAATAATGTTTAGTGTAGTTGAAAATCTTTATCCTTCTGAAGATCATTATGTATTAAAATATGATAATTACTACCTGAAGGTAGGCAGAATTTTCTCATCAGTCACATTCCACTTCTTTTTTTCTGTCAAAGATGAAGACTTTTGAGACAGGTGTTAACTTCACCATGAAACAGGCACTGAATTACCTGTCTGATTGGAAATCTCATTTTCTGAACAAGGTGTGCAATCAAAACAACAGGTAGGCTTTCCCTCCAGAGCATTTTTACTGAGTCCAGGGCTACAACTCTCACTGCACTGAGCATGGCATCTGAGAAAACTCAGATGGATGTAGGTCATAGTTGGGACTGTTATCTAAACTTCAAGTAGGGTATTTAGTCCTGGAGAATCTATGCTCTTAAAACTTAAAAGTACCTGTTTCTAATACACTGATTGCATGCCATATTGACTCTGTGCCATGAAATAGACTCAAAACATATGGAAGAACAAGTGTCTTTGTTATCCTTCCTCAGATGCCACAAACACAAGAAACATATATAGGTTGGAAGGGGAGTGGATTAATGTCTGTAAAGGTATTTTTATTAAGCCAAGTGACACAAAATACCATACCAACTGTGGGTAACAATGTGTAGTGTGAATCTTAAAATTAGGAACAGATTACGCCTTTAATTTCTGTGGCCCACTCTATTACATCCTCAAAGAGAGACAACTGTTGCTCATGGGGAAGAAACACTATTTTCACCTTACATCCAACAGCTTTTGGAAAATTACAGAAGTTGAGAATGTCATACTCAACATCCAATTTTCTCTTTTGATTCAAATTCACTAGGTCACCAGCAGGATTGGCAAATTGGAGGTGCTTGAGAAACAGGTGCAGCTAAAAAAATGTGCCATCCTCTCAAGTGACTGCTCAAAAATTTGTACAACAAATTCAAGTTAGAGAAAGTATCTCTTGGTCTGTAATCACAGCTACACAAAGGAACACATTTGTAGCAACTCTATGAATTCAAAGAAACCAGATACAGAACTATGTCACAGTAAGTCAGATTTTGTCGCTCCCCGTCTTCGTGGAGGAACAACACAGGACCCTGCGCTGTTCTTTTGTCTGCTCGGCCCTCCCCGGGTTTGCTGCTGGTTCTTCCCAGGTTGGCTACCGTCCCTTCCACCTCTGTGGAAGGGCGGTTCCCCCTGCCACTTTCCCCACTTCCGCAGGGGAGCGGCACACCGCCGACCGGCTCTCTCGGGGACAGCACAGGTGTTCCTTCAGATAGATGTTCCCCTTAGATGTTCCTTGTGCATGTTGTCTCTCTCCTCCTTTATAGTCCTCTTCCACCAATCCCAACTCTGCTACCCACACGCCGAGTACGCTGCTCTCCTCCAATCAGGAGCAGGTCCTGCTGTTTATTGGTTGAACTGGAGGCAGCTGTGTAGAAGCTGTTTCCTCCTCTCCCAGCGCCATATTGTGGGAGAGCAGATGCATAGAATAAGTCTGAATTCCAGTAGCAGTCTAGTCTGAGTTGCTTCCCACAGATCCCCCTTTCTTTTTATTTTTGGTGTTGATACGCGCCTGTCTTCGGTGCCCCGCGGCACACACTCTGCTCTGCTTGCTAGAGTTGCCCACAGGTGCTTACAAGCCCTACCAATCAGGCAAACCGAATCCGGGTCCTCTCTTCGCCATGTTGTGAGGAGCTTTTTAGGCGCTGATGCGTGCCTGTGTTCGGTGCCCTGCAGCGCATGCTCTGCTCTGCTAGAACTGCCTGCAGGTGCTTACAAGCCCTACCAATCAGGCAAACCAAATCCAAGCCCTCTCATTGCCGTCTTGTGGGGAGATTTATTGGTGTTGATAACGTGCCTGTCTTTGGTGACCTGCAGCTGCCCACAGGTGCTTATCGTCATACTAATCAGGCAGACCGAATCCAAGCTCTCTCATTGCTATGTTATGGGGAGGCCTTATTTTTCTCTATTTCTCTATCTCCGGGCATTCCTATTTCTCCTATTTTACTTCTATCTGCCAGCATTCCTATTTCTCTCATTTTACTTCTATACTTCTGTTTCTCTTATCCCCATGGCTTCCCGGCGCCCACCCCGAGGCTGCTTCTCGACGCCTCGCCCCACGGCGGCTTCCCGGCTCTGCGCGCTCCGTGGTCTCCACGCCCTTTGCGCCCCCACCATGGCCTTTGCGCCAGCTCTGCGTTCCCTATCTACTTGCGCCCTGTGCGCTCCCCTGCTTGTGATCCCCGCGCTCTCCCCGGGCTAACCTGGTGAATTCAACCTAGCTCACGTCCGCACCTTTCGGTTTGGCTTCCCGTCTTTTGCTCCCCGGGCTAATCTGACAGATTCCAACCTGGCTTACGCGTCCGCCTCTAGTTTTAGCTTTTCACCTTTTGCTCCCCGGGCTGACTTGAAGAATCCCAAGCTAGCTTACGTCTCCACCTCAGCCTGCCCCCGCGGCTTCATCCTCCCTAACATATTTTTCTCTACCCGGTATGTTTCCTAACTTTTCTTCCAACAATATTCCCCTCTCACTTCTCCTGGCTTCTCCCCACAGTCCGTATCCGAGTCTAAATTTCTTCTAGGTTTCACTTTCACTTTCAACCTTAGAGATTTCTCCCAGCTTCCCCGCCATAGTCCGTATCCGAGTCTATGCCTAGGCTTTCAATAGCTTCTTCCAGCACCTTTTCCGTCTGGCTTTTCCCTAGGCTCTTTGCTAGTCTCTCTCTCCGGTATTTTCCCACTTCTTTCCGTTTCTTCCCTCCTAAGTTTCTTATCCGAGTCACGGCACCATTATGTCGCTCCCCCTCTTCATGGAGGAATGACACTAAACCCTGTCTAGGTTTCCTATCTGAGTCACGGCACCATTATGTCTCCTAGGCTTCATATCCGAGTCACGGCACCATTATGCCGCTCCCCTTCTTCGTGGAGGAACAACACAGGACCCTGCGCTGTTCTTTTGTCTGCTCGGCCCTCCCCGGGTTTGCTGCTGGTTCTTCCCGGGTTGGCTACCATCCCTTCCACCTCCGTGGAAGGGCGGTTCCCCCTGCCACTTTCCCCACTTCCGCAGGGGAGTGGCACACCACCGACCGGCTCTCTCGGGGACAGCACAGGTGTTCCTTCAGATAGATGTTCCCCTTAGATGTTCCTTGTGCATGTTGTCTCTCTCCTCCTTTATAGTCCTCTTCCACCAATCCCAACTCTGCTACCCACACGCCGAGTACGCTGCTCTCCTCCAATCAGGAGCAGGTCCTGCTGTTTATTGGTTGAACTGGAGGCAGCTGTGTAGAAGCTGTTTCCTCCTCTCCCAGCGCCATATTGTGGGAGAGCAGATGCATAGAATAAGTCTGAATTCCAGTAGCAGTCTAGTTTGAGTTGCTCCCCACAAGATTTCAATCATTTTCATTAAAAAACATGAGCAATCAAAATCACTAGGTGTGAGATTTGGACAAATCTAGACTCTATTACTTTCTCCATGATTCTATGACAACATACAGTAAAATGAAGCTACCCACATACAAATGTGTGCAAATTACCTAAGATCATTAACTCCAATATCCCTGAACACCTCAGCACCATCTGACACTAGAAGTAATTCTCCTACTGCTTAGTTTTAAAATAGAGACAAAGGCTAGGTATTTCATATACATAAACCTTAAATAGAGAAGATGCTGCATTCTTTTTCACACAGCACTGATACTTATCCACAGATGTTTTCACAGTAGTCAATGGAACCTTGTTGCTGAAGACAAAGTTAATGAAAGGGGCACATTTATATCCTAGACACTGAAACAACTGCATGATTTCTGGTGATTTAAGAAAGGATCCCAAGCTATTTGGTTTGAACACCTGCAGAAGCTCTTAAGGGGATCACTTCAGGAGTACATGTCATGCAGTGGAAACCAAGTTACCTGCTAGGGAGAAAATGCTACCTTTGCCCCATTGTTCACTGGCTGCATTTCTACCTCTTGTAGAAGCATCTCATGTACGCTGTGGGCCACAGCATACACAGCATTGTATATGGTCATATCAAAATGAAGCAGAGGCAACCATTCCAAGGAGGCATTCAGTGGACAGTTATGCAAGGTTTTGCAGGTTATTCCAGTAACTGAGCAATCAAAAACTAGCAACCAGAATCTGGAGAGGTAAATGTCTTCTGGGTATTTGGAAGGGTTTGGTGTCTGAAGAAAATTTTTGAAACCCGAGATCTCACTATGGTGGTGTGAAAACATGAGAGTCCCATGGAATGAGTGGAGCAGAAAAAGTCTCCAGTTGGTGGCAAAATCCCATTGTGAGGTGGTGACTCAGACTTTCAATGTCATTAAATCTTCCCATGAGAAAATCAGTGTCACAGAAAAGAATAACCACCTTTGCTGATCATTTTAGCATCTGGATGTGATACGGCCAGGGGATACAAGATCATGAATCCTCAGTGGCTGGAATAAATTCCAAAAGTCTAGGCAGATACCATTCTTCTGCATCTCAATTTTCAAATCAGAAATAGACTGAGTACCTTTTGGGAGGTCTGAAATGGCCAAACCCATCCAGATGAAACTGAAATGGAGCATCAGGGAGACCACGCCAAGGGCCAGAGAAGTGTCTTTGGGGACCATCTGATAGAGAGAAGCTAACTGACCACTGTCACTCAGAAGCAGTTCAAAAGACCCAAGAGTCAGCTAAAGGAAAATGCAAGAAATATGTGTAAGGTTATTTCCAGAATATACAATCTTATTTCTGAAGGTAATTAAGCAAATGTTTGAAGTGTCACAGGTATTTGAATATTCCATTTTTCTCATCTCCCACTACATGAGAACTTCCTCGGTTGTGAGTTTAGACTCACAGGTTGAGGAAAATGTTTCCATTTTCATTTCACCACACCTCTGTATCAAGCAAATGTGGTTACTCCTCCAAACCTCTGCATGGCTCCTCTTTAGATTACACATTGTGGCTAAAGCATAAGGTGTCAGTCATTTCCCTTTTTGTTCTGAGTAAGGCAGTTAAGGTGATATGATATTTTCCCCTATCTTTCCTGTAAACACTCACCTGTGGAGTTTTGTAGAGTTCTAGCAGTGTCCCTATTTGGACACTAATGCTCATTCCTGAAATCCTGGCTACAGACTTGCTCTTTCCTACACATGTAATTAGCAATGTCCTATTCCAGGCCCGCAAGCCAGAGGAAGGGATTCCCTGTCACCATCATGTCACTGTGCATGCCATTATAGAGACCAAATTCCCAGGTCATGTTGGGTAAAAAATGGGGGTTCTTTTTGATGATCTCAATATCAAAAACCAAGGCCAGAACATACTGGTAGTTTTTGGACTGAAATCTGCAGGAAAGGCACAAGGATCATTAAGGGAGAAGCATCCAATCCAGATTATCATCAACTCTACTCCCATAACTGTTACAGTTGGACTGTTCTGGCCAAAATTCCTAAATTCCAATCATTCTTTTAACACATACTGAGGGTAGAGTGTGAAGACTGTCGTATTTGCTGCAGGACACACCCTCACAAGAATCAAAGCTGCTACTACCTTCATCCTGGTCTTCTAGTCTAAATGATTCTGAAAATAAGCTCTGCTATTACATCATAAAGTCTTGGGCATGTTATCACCTGGCTATCCATGCAGCCAAAGAACATGATCTTTTTGTACTCCTACCTCATCAATTTAATTCATTTCTGGCAACATCTTCCAAGTTATGATATTTGATATCTAAAGTAAATATTACAATATACTCTGGAATGCCCTCCCTACATTTCTTGCAAATATAGGAAATGAATTCAACTTGTTAATGAAAACATATATAATGGAAAGGCACGTCCTCTTTAGCACTGCCTCTATAGTTGTTTCTTATATTCACAAACTACAATGATTCTTCACATCATTGCATCACCAAATGCTTCTTGAAGCAGGAATCATATAATCATAAGACTGCAGTTAGTAATGGGAAAAAGAGAGTAACTCAACTCAAGGCTCTATTATCAGAAAGAGAGAAAATCTCAGACCACTGAGAATGGTAGACCAAAGTCTGGACTTTATCCAGAAAAACCTCTTCCCCATAAAACTTACCCATCAACCACCATCACAAGCCAGGAAAATGAAATCAGATTCAGACTTCAATGAAGAACAGTGAAAAGTGTAGAACACTTTAGAGAAGCCTAAAACACTCACAGGGTGGACTTGAAACACTGGGCTATGAGGCCCATGATGCCTAAAGTTAAGGTAGATAACCCTTTATTTGGAACACTAAGCATATGTTAAACTAAATCATCAGCATTGGTATCAGTACTTACTCTATAAACAGGCCTCATTCATTCAATTTTTTTTTTTTTTTTTTTTTTTTTTACAGAATTGAGTACAAATAGCCTTCCGTGCAAAGAACACAATGGATTTCTATTTTCTGGCATCTGACATTTCACAACAAATGAAAATGAGGAGCCCTTTGTATTTCCTTTGTATTTATATTAGATGCGCTGGGTGTTGAGCATTGATGAGTATACCACATCACGTTCACTGCTTGATAATGGTCACTGTGTGCTCCAGAGGAAGTGACAGTTTTTCATTTCTTCATTCATGTTGCTGCATAATATGTATGTGTGTGTATATGATATAAATATTACCTCTTTCTATATTTATATATGTGTTTTATACCATATATACACAGTTGTTCTCTCTACTGTTATATACATATATATATAGTTTCTATTAATATTTGTTATCCAAATACCTCATTCACACTTTGTATGTAGAATGAGGAAATTTGAAAATCCTTGCTAAATGATCAAATAATACTTAGATTTGTATTACATATGTTGCTGGTCTTCTCCTCATTCTTCTACACCTCCATCTATTCCTGCTCTCATTTCTTCCTCCTGCTTCCCCGCTGGAATCAAAAGATCTAGAAAGCTCATTGTCACACTAGGCAATTCTGAGAGTTGCCCTTTTGATCTGTTTTATGCTGTGTTCCTTATCGCTAAGAACAGTTTATTAGTAATTATTATATATTCTAGACTTGGTCAGTCTAACATTGGAGCATATAGTGTCTAAATCGATTGTAAGTTCAATATGTAAGTTCAACTATGAATTATTTTCCAAGTATCATCAATGCAGGTATTTTCTCCTGAATTTGCTGATATTTGATTATGATCTCCAGTTTGCATGGCATTCATAATGGGGGACCTGGGTACTATTCATAGAATCTACTGTAAATACTGGACATTCACTATATCCTGGTCTCCATCATTTGGGGTACACATAAATGATGTGTTGCATGCATAACCATGGGGAATCCTACTACTAATAATAAATATTTCATAAATGGGATGTCATGTGCACATATCAAATTAGGACACTTCATATGTGAAGAGAGTAATATTGCTATACCAAGCTAGTATCCATTAGATTATTTCATGGCATGATCTTTGGACAAATGCCTAAAATACTTAATCAGTTGCATTGCCTTGGCAGCACCAACTAAACTTTTCAAATCCTTTTGCTTTAACAACAATGCAATGATCTATGACCTAATATCTACCTTCTATTAAAGATCTAGGCGATGTAATCCTACTTCCTATAGTATTACAGTAGATATCAGAAAATTAGCACCTTCATAAACAGATGTGCAGAAAACAATTATGCTGTCCTACAAGATACAATATTCTGTAGCATTCACATATATTTATATGTGAAACATATATAATTATCTGAAAAAGAAGGTATGCTAAAGAGGGGCAGAAGCAAAATAATCTCCCTTCTGCGATGTCTGTATTTTTGTTCAGAAAAAGTTAGAATCAGGGACACATCCTAAATTTTGAAGACCAGAAGCATTAAAGTTCACAAGTGTATATTCACCATTAAAATATAATAATTATTATATTTTTGTCTGAATCAAGCCACTTTAATACTACTCCATCTTACATCTTTCGACCAGCTGTCCACTGGTCCATGGGGGAACCTGGAAGCTTTCTTCCCTGAGGCTCTGCAGCTGAGGTCTTCTGTCCTCGTGAGAAACGCAAGATGGAAAACATGTTTGTGGATGATCTTCTTCACCCCAGGTGCCAGGATTTTCTCCTTGTCCATGGATACAAAGACTCAAGAGAGAAACTCCTGTTAGATAAATTTCTTGCAAGGGCTTTGTCAAAAAACCTTTCCAGGAACTTTTTGCAATTATATATGATTGCATCAGAAGGCACAAAGGGAGGCATAAGGCAAGTTTCTGAGATGACCCAACTCATTCAGGTTTCAAATGAGAACACGCCAGGATCACACATTCCAAAGACCCAGAGGCAATGGGGCAGCTTCCCACAAACAGTGTCCCGGGTAGCACACATTGCCTTGATGTCCCAGAGACCCCAAACTAATCCTGTTTACAGAGATACCCACTAGGACATGTGGTTTTCAATCACTGTGGAACCAGTAATCACCCTGAATTCAGAAGTTCCAATTCTGTATGTCAAATCACCACATATTCAGTTGTAAAACAGGAAAGCTTTCCACATTGCAGGTCAACCACGCTAATCCTATGATGACTGTTTAGGCACCTACACCCCTGGTCAATGCTCTCATGAGAACTAGGGAATACTTGAGTACTTTTCACTTTTTACTAAAAAGCAGACAATACCAGCCAGAAGTTATGTATTTATTCTCACCTCCACAAACACTAAGGACAGGATGATGTCTGCAGACACCTGTACTTCTTGAATGCAAGTGACTTTCAGGAATATTATGTAGGACACCATCAGGGAAGCTACGTACTGTTAAACCTTTGCCAAACCCACAGAATGAACAACATGAAAGTAAACACAATGAATACCATGTCATGTAGGGAATGATGATGAGCAACACTGACTAATCATTTGTGCTTGCATATCAGTGTGAGATATTGCTAATGGAGTAAATCTAATAAGGAGGGAGACGAGAGGGCAATTAAGAGAACTCATTCTAAAGTTTCCTAAACTCAAATTGCTCTAATTGTGGTGCCTAATATTTTAAGCAAAACACATTTTCCATTGCCTAGCCACTGCTCTGATGCCATTAGGGAGATTTTGAATAGTGGCACATGCAAAGTGAGATGCAGAATAGGCACAAAATACAATCAAAGTTCAGTAACTTGCGTACAATGAAAATAGAATGCCTTGATGAGCTAGATTCATTACAAATACAATGAAGAAACTTGTTGTATATTCAGTTACACAAGAAAAGTAAATCTAAGTCAGAGAGCAAGTATCTTCTATTCTCTCTAATGTGTGGAAACTAAAAGCAGTGTCAACATGAATGCACACAGTTCACTGAACAAAGGTTGGGAATGGAGAGGATGAGCATCACGCAATGAGACATCTTCAGAAAGTTCATGGAAAATGTGTGTAATGAAACAATTATGCAAAAATTTCAAGAAATTTAACCCCCAGATAGATTATATATGTCAATTTCTCCTGGTCATGGGATGATCTCATGTTGAGTGATTTCATGTTCTTATCCTTGAGTCCTAGTTTATCTGGGATTCATACATTAATTTGCTCCAGTTTGATGGGACATGCAAAAATATTCAACTGTTTTCAATCCACTTCCTTTGTTCCTGGGATTTTCTCCTCAAGCTAATTCAGCAAAGTAATCTAAATTATACTATTTGAAAGTCCTTGGTGTTTTCTGGCAGTAATTCTCATGCTTTCTTTGAGAACAGAAGGGAATTTCAAATCAATGAACTTGCATTTGTATTAGATGAAGAAGGGAAATCCAAAAACACAGGGAAGCAGAATTGGGCAGAAGCTCCTATTTACCCTGTGTTGAGCTGAACACCACTGGCCATCCCCAGATCTACCAGGTAAGACATCAGAGTACATCCCAATAATCTCCCTGTTACAGTAAGTTCTCAACATGATTCTGAGGCAAGATTTATTTGAAGGCATTCAAATTTAGGAAAAACCCAGGATATTAACATACACAAAGACTTCAGGCATTGTCTAAATAACTTCTCTTCATGAGTCCTTCAAAAAGTATAACATACAAACTACCTAAAAGGGAAACTCAAAGTCTCAAATTATTGGGATTAGGAAGATCACATCATATTAGACCAACTGGATTGTCAGAACAAGGAGAGCAAACACATTAACTTCCTCATCAAATGCTGGAGACTCAGTGAGGTCATATTTCTATTCCAAAATAATAAAAAAAAATCTACAATATACTGTTCAAGTAAGATGTAAATTTCCAGCCCAAGAGAGACAATGTACATTAGAATTATTTTACATTTCATGATTACTAGGTTTCACCAAAATGGTGCGGAAGAAGCCAGGAGGACTCTCCCTCCTCATGATTCCCCAGGGAACCCATCCCCACTACTGCCATATCATATCACTGCCAGGTGCTGGTGCTCATCCTCTGACCTCCACAAACACTACTGAAGGTGAAGGCAGAGCATCTATCAACAAGCACTCCTACTGTTTCAATACACCCACCTGGCTAATTCTGATGCCAGGTAAGATCTGAAAGCACTGTTTAACAAAATATTAGACTATGAAAGACTTTATTATGAAAGACTAAATTAAGACTATCAGTGTAAAAACAGAGTACAGTCATTGTGTAAATATTTTGTTTATGTGCCACTCACAAAATGCAAAATACAAAGCACCATAGGCTGCAAATGAAAATTTAGTGCCAGCAAGATTAAAATGATCAAATTACAATCATATAAACTGGACAGGCAGAATAAAGACAGAGGGAAAAGTGAGTTAAGTTTCTCATCTAACATTGGGGAGTAAATGAACAGGACTTGCTATTCTGAATTTAGGATATTTGTACAATTACAAATTCTCTAACATCAAGTACACATAAGTGGAACTTTCTCAACTTAGTGGTGAAAAGTTAAGAAATATGAATTTACTTTATAAGGAAATTGGATCTGACCAAACCATGAAGTCACACTATCACTGGCCCATAGAATTCTGATGAGTATTCATTAGGGATGTTTCCACAGCTTTCCATAGGCCTAGGGGCTCTCTCTGGGGCTGTCCCTGGGTGGCAGAGCTGTGAGGAGTTGAGAGGAGGTGGGCAGAAGAAAGCAGCTCTCCCAAGGGTCAGGGGCTATGCTGCTGCATCAGAAGGCCCCATGTAACAAGAATCTCTCACTCTGGACTGGAAGAGGCAAGGTCAAGGGCACTTGAAACCACTGAGGGCTCCTGTGCAGGATGAAGCTCCTGCCTCTGCTGTTGCCTGAGAATCCTCACTTGAGACTTTGGCACACTAGCTCTTGACTTGGCTGAAGTCTCAATCTAGGGGCTAGTTGCAGTACACATGAAGGCCTCTGCAAACACCCAGAGATGCTGAGAAGGTAGCAATCCCAGAGCCGTACCATAAAGATCCCTGGAGGCAGCACTGTGCTGCACTAGTGTAAGCCTGTACCTGAGGTGCCAGCATCCTATGTGAGGGCCAATTCATGTGCAGCTGCTCCTCTTCTTATATAGCTCCCTGCTATATAACCAGGGAAAGCAGTGCAGGGTGGCCAAGTGCTTGGGTCCCTATACTCAAGTGGGAGACACAAAAGAAGCTCCTGCCTCCTGGCTCCTGGCTCCTGGCTTTGGATCAGCCCAGCTCTAGTCTTATTGGCCATTTATGAAGTGAATCAATGGATGCAAAATTCTCTCTCTCTCCTCTTTCTCTGTGTGTCTCTCTCTTTGTCTCTCAAATATATAAATAAATATAATCTAATAAAACATTAATGAAGAGCCCCAAGGTTCTCCCTAAGTGGTATTTAGCAAAGTTCTATGGAAAAATTCAAATGCATTGGGGCCAGCACTGTGGCACAGCAGGTTAACGCCCTGGTCTGAAGTGATGGCATTCCATAAGGGCACCTGTTCAAGGCCTGTCTGCTCCACTTCCTATCCATCTCTCTGCTATGGCCTGTGAAGCAGCGAAAGATGGCCCAAGTTCTTTAACCCCCACACCCATTTGGGATACCCAGAAGAAGTTCCTGTCTTTGGATTGGTGCAGCTCCAGGCATTGTTGCAAATTTGGGAGTGAACCAATGGATGGAAGACCTCTCTCTCTGTCTCTGTTTCTCCTCTCTCTGCATAACTCTTCTTTTCAAATAAATAAATAAATATTTATAAAAAATTTCAAGCCATCATCATCCTTGGGTGCACTCTTAGTGTTGGAGGGTAGCCCTGATCCCTTGAATGAACCAAGACCTGTGCAGAAGAGCAAGAAAAGACTCCCTAACACCCACCATTGTTACACTGCAAAGACAACGTGAATGTGGTTCTGCAGCACCAATATTTTTCTGGTTTAAATGTAAGGGATTCCATCGGACCCCAGAAGACCCAAGAAAAGCATATTTGTGTACAGCATACTCTGAAATCACATTTTATAATTATTGCCTCTGAGGAATATGATTGCACAGGGTTTATCTATTTTTCTTTATATCTAATTTTGGATTTAATTTCCCATGTCTAAATCTTGTATAATAAAGGGGTAAATGATGCTTCCACATGGTAAATAAATGCCTGTATGTATCTACTTAAAATATAAACAGTCCTAATTTAAAACAGAAAAAGGAAACATGGCAAGTCAGAATAGAATAGATTCTTCACATAATGAATACACATGTGTGCGACTCAATAATTACTAATAAATCAAAATATCAATGAGACACTATTTGCAGATACCAACTCAGGCCACCCATTAAGATCATCAATGTGAAGGGAATAATATTGTTATAACTGGCTGGTATCCATCATCATAGTTCTGGAGGGTTCTGTGGACATATTCCTAAAATACTGTATCACATGTATTGCTTGGTAGCACCAATTATATGGTCCATGATAATGGATTCGCAGAATCCATTGGCTTTAATCATAATGTGAAGATCAATGCCCTAATATCTATCTTCTATCAAAGATCTATGTACTGTATTCCTACTAACTGGATTATTAAAGAGAATCCAGTTAGAAAGTCAGGGACTTTCAAAAATTGGTTTGAGAATAAAATTATGCTAGAACAAAAAGAGATCTTTAGGCCTGAACTAATCATAAAGGTAGTTACATGGAAGAAAGATATTTATCATATTTTACTATGAAAGGAAAATACAAGAGATGAAGAGGCAGAATAGCCTT